TTATCTAATTTATTTATTTATTTTATTTTTTCAAATAGAATCTTAGAATTTTGGAGTATATTATTAGTTATCGTATTTAGTTGAGTTTAGCAGATTATAATATTAGAACTGCTATATAAATATTTTTTGCGATATTTATGAAGATGGTAAAATGATAATAATTCGTGTTCCTTCGACTTTATATTAATGCCAATAAAATTATTTATTTATTTTTTTTGTTTGAATAAATATTTTTAAATATTGTTTTATTTTTTAAAAAGTTTCGCGAAAATGTTTATTAATAGAATGTTGTGCAATATAATTTTATACAATTAAATACACTAAACCAGGATAAAAATCTAGATCATGGTCCAAGATAAGGATTCTCAGCAGATTCAAGATTCAACAGAATTAGGTTATCAGGTAGTCTGATGACAAATATGCGTAATCAAAGTAAATATTATACAATGACCTAACTTAAAACTGAACAAATCATGAGCACTCTTCTATCAGATTATCAGCACAGTGAATGTAACATTATCAGTGAATGAATATGCATAGGTATTTAAGTATTGACTAAAATAAAAAAAAAAAAAGATTTTTCGATGATTTTAAAGTACAATACATTGTTTTACAAATTGTTCTAAATTTGCACAATAACTCATTAATCGTACAAAAAATTAATTATTACTTATTATTTTCATGGAACTTTTCATGGAAAAATTGAGATAAATAAATTTACCAAAAAGAATTAATCTGTATACTGATCGATTTATTTTTTTTCTAGAATATTTAAAACGCATGCATACATCTTACTAATTAGCAAATAAGTTGTTTCACGAAACAATTTTATCCAATTAAATTTACTAGATCAGGATAAGAATCTGGACTCCAGAATAAGAACGCTCAGATTCAACAGATTCAATGATCTCATGACAAATATTTACAGCAACCGAAATAAATATTATACAACATACTTTGTAATGAACTAACTAAAAACTGAACAAATCATGAGCAAACTCATCTGATTTAGATGTAACAAATGATTCATTCATTTATCTTTTCACATTTTTCAATGAATGAATATATACAAAAGTATTTTTTTTTTTAAGTACTAAAATAAAAATAAAAAGTAAATTTTCAATGATTTTTAAAAGTACAATACTTGTTCTACAAAATTGTTTTTGAATTTGCAGAATTGTTTTGATCCAGATCGAAACATTAATAATACAAAAAAATTAATTGTTACTATAAATAAGATTTTTATTCTTTTCATGGAAAAATTAAGATAATAAATTTACCAAAAAAAGAAAAAAATTATTCTGTATACTGATCGCTTTTTAATTTTAGATTTATTTAATTTTTTTTGTTTTTTCTTTATGAAATAATTTGCGAATTAGGCGGGATGACCGAGATATTATGCATGTAATACTTTAGTTGTTAAAAATTGAATTAAACTATATTTATTCTAATTTTTCGCTTCATTTTTTCATTTTATAATAAAAAAGAAATAAAAAAAAAGTACCATAACTAATTAATATAAATTTATAATAATTTATACGTTGTATAAAAAATACGATACTTTTAATTTTTTGTTCGTTAATTTATACAACTTATAAAATTTCCTAAAAAGATGATCGTGTGTAATAAACTGTATTACAAGTGTAACAACATCATTATTAATTTTAATTAATTAATTCACGTGCTCTGACGCTCTTTAACCAAGATTGTATTATGACTATGTGTCTTAATTAAAAAAAGGAAATTGATCATTCATAATAGAATTTTTTCTTATTTTATTTTCTTGGGAGAAATTGAATTGAATTAATAAGCAAAATGATATCAATCAATCCGATTCAGAATTTTTTGAATAAAAAAAAATGAACTTATCCCATTACTCCATTATACCATTATAATAATCGAAACACAATTAATAATTCTGTAAGCGCCCTGAATGAATCAATTTTATTTTTAAAAAATTAGATTTTTTGATGTTTCAGAATTTGGAGACTGGAATTTTCTGTTGTACAATTGAGTATAAAAGAGTTAATGTAGAAAAAATGATTCAATTCATTTTTATATTTTTATAAAAAAAAAAAAATAGATGTCGATAAGGTTCTTATCAAAAGCGATCATGAACTTAGTTCCGTTGTACAATTAAGTATAATTAAGTATAAAAAAAAAATGCATTTTAAGTTCCATTGTACAATCAAATAAAAAATAATAATAAATTAATAAATATTTTTTAACTTTAATAAGAAAAATTTATTTATCGAAAAAATCCAGCCCTTATCAAAACTCGATCTTATGAACTTATTCTGTTGTACAATTGTAATATTAACGAATAAATTAAAAATTCTTTGAATTCCTCATTTGGTCTAGAAGGCATTAAATAGTTCGATAAAAATTTGATAACTTTATTTGAGTTATAAAAAGGCTTGAATTTCTTTCGATATTAATCATTTCTATTTATTTTTTTTTTGATTACTAAAAATTCATTTGAATTAAATAAAGGCTTGAATTACTTTCGATATTATTCATTCTCCCCCTTTTATTGTTTTTAAAAAAAAAAAAAATCATGGAACATGAAATCACGACTGATGAAAACAGGATCGAAGTTGATTCGATTTCAAGTTCTGTAAACGAAAAACAGGTGTTCATTCTAATTCATAAAATTTTTTTTTTTTCAAAAGAAAATATTTATCATATATATAATAATCTTTTAAGGTCGGAAGTGATTATGACTTCTCGGCAGAGAGAACAACAAAACGAAGATTGTTAATACAACGTACTGAAAGTGGATCAACATCTGCAAAGAATCCTGTTTACGTAGAATGGTATGGATTAAATTATTCTATACCCAAAGAAAATACGAATACTTGGAAATGTAAGAAATCTAGTTTAGAATCTGGCAAAACAAGGTTATCAATCATAGAAAATATTCATGGTTGTGCTAATCCAGGTAAATATTAAGTTTACTTAACATCACATCACTTATTTGTTAACTTCCAAATTTACAAAATTACAATTTACAAATTTATAAGGAGAAATTCTCGCGATTATGGGACCTTCAGGTTGCGGAAAAACTACTTTGCTAAATATTCTTGGTGATCGTGTAGGAAATAAAGGAGTTAAGGGAACGATAACTATGAATGGTTTTAAACCAACAAAATGTTCAAAGAGATATGTAGCTTATTGTACTCAAGATGATATCTTCTTTCCTGAAATAACTGTAAAAGATACTCTTGGATTCACCGTAAGTACAATAATTACTACACCATTCATCTGTGAAATTATTGTTGTCATCGTAATTAATTTTTAAATATAACTGATAATAAACAGGCTAGGTTACGTCTTCCGCGTGACGTGCCATTGGATGATAAACTAAAACAAGTTGATGCCACTATGCAATTATTGAATTTGACTAAAAGTGCTCGCACGAAAATAGGAGACAACAGAGTTCGCGGTGTATCAGGAGGAGAAAGAAAACGTGTTAGTAGTGCCTCGACCCGTATCCGGATCAATCCGGATTGATCCGGATTTTTTTTTTTTTCGGATATCCGGATTTTCACGGTTTTCATCCGGATTATAAACCGGATGAAAAATATCCGGTTTGACCCGGAATCCGGATGAAATTTTTATTATTTTTTTTTTTTATTAATAATAATTTTGCTGATCCATAAAGATCTATATCTAAATGATATTATGGCTTAATTATTTTTGCGCCTAATACCAATTTTTTTATTAAAATTTATTAAATTTATATTTGTTATATTAAACTTTTTAATACAGTAAGTTTAAGAAGATTTTTCAATTATAATTTATTTATTGAAGTTTGTATCAGATTTTATTTAAATTTATACATTAACAAATAACAAATAATTTTAGATTTCACATTCAAATGTTCAAAAGAAAAAAAACTTTATATTATTTTGTTGTATTGTTTTAAATGAAAAATTGTTCAATATTATAAATTTATTATAATTATAACAACTTTTTTTAAAAATTAAAACTAGTGTTATATAATTTGATTCAAATGATTCTTTAATTTTTGAAAGAAGAAACAAATCCTTTAAAAATTGCCTTACTAACCCAACACATCTATTTATAGTAATCTTTAGCTGTATATAAAAATATCTTGTTTAAAATTTCATAATTAGTTAATTTACAAAGAAATGTTAATCAATAGTCTGAGACAATGCTGAAATAATATGAAATTGTTTTAAATAAAAATATTTAATGAAATTGGAATTATGTAAATTTCGTAGTCTTGGATAATTTTGGCCAAATTTGTAATTCTGGCCGAAATTAACATCACGTGACACCGGAAAAATAGTTTAGCCACCGGGCAAAAAATTTTTTATCGGCTGGCATGAAAATTTAATGTTACACAATTTGTAATTCTGGCCGGCGTTATGAATTCTGTCCAGAATTATTGCCGACCATTTGTAAATCCAATCCGGTTTCCGGTTTCTATCCGGATTATCTGATCCGGATTCAAAATCCGGGTCAATCCGGATATAATCCGGATTATTTTTTTGTGTAATCCGGATGACGGTTTTCATCCGGGTCGAAGCACTACGTGTTAGCATTGCAAGTGAATTATTAACAGATCCTAGTGTCATTTTGTTAGACGAACCAACATCCGGTTTAGGTAAGCAATCAGAATCATTCTTGAATTTAGAAAGTATCCACATTATTTATTTTTAATTTTTTTATGCTAGATTCTGCATTGGCATTAGAGCTTGCAAAAATTCTTAAAGAACTTGCTATTAAACAAAGAAAGACGATCATTATTGTTATTCATCAACCTTCATCTCAAGTATTTGAAATTTTTGATAAATTAATGTTGATGTGCGACGGACATATGGTCTATTTTGGTAAAAGAGCTAATGTGGCAGACTATCTTGCTAATCTAGGATTTAAGTGTCACCCTAACTATAATCTTGCAGATTATATACGTACGTACCATTTCATTAAATTTAATATATAGGTTTATACTTTATTATAAATACTAAATTCCTACAAATATGTTAATAGTGGAGCTCTTGAATGATGATGCGAGTAAACAAAAATTAATTCATTCATACGCGAACCAAGTTCGTGATGATCCAACAGGAGAAAAAGAAATCGAAAAGTATTCTCGTAGGAAACACGATAATAATAACGACATAAAACAAGCTCCAGTTCTATGTGATTATGGTTGGGAGGCCACATTTTTCCAACAAGTTTCAATTCTTACTGAAAGAACTTTTAAGCAAAGCTTAAAAGATATTTTATCTACAACTGAATTAATTCATACTTTTGCTATGGTCGTAATATGCTGTTTAATTTGGTATCGAGTTCCTTTTACAGAAGAGAATATACACGATCGTACTGGTAGTGTAAGTATAAATAACACTTATATTTATTAATCATTTCTTTTTTTCCTAATTTTTATTGATTCTTAAATTATTTTAATAATAATCCAAATAATTCATTATAGATTTTCTTCGTGTAAGTATAATATATTTCTTTTTCTTAATGGATTATTTGCGAATATCTAATTAAATATAACACATTTCTTTTTAATAGAGTTGTATTTTGGTCATTTGAACCATTTCTTGGAGCTGTAGCAACTTTACCGATGGATTTAGTTATGTTAACAAAAGAACGTCAATCACGCTCTTATCGTTTATCAGCGTATTTTTTGTCAAAACAAATTGCCGAATTGCCTCTAATTTTAATTAAACCTGCATTGTTTACTATCGTGGTATATTGGGTTACAGGTTTATTACCAGATTTTGGTAGATTTATGGCTTATTTAGTAGTAATTTTGTTAAATACATTGACTTCTCAAGGTTTTGGTTATTTTTTTGGTGCTAGTTTATTAAACGTACAAAAAAGTGTATGTAAGTATGAATCCTTTTTTTTTAAAAAAAATATATATGTATATATATTTATTTATTTATAAATATATAATTTATTTACTTTTTTTTTCCTTTCAAATATAGCTGTTGGCACAGTATTTATGCTTGGAAGTATGTTGTTAGGTGGATTTTATGTGAAAAATTTACCACCTGGATTAGCTTGGTTAAAATATCTCGTAAGTACAAATCTTTTTTTTGGAATTTCCTTTTCAAAATTTAACATTTTTTTCAAATATTAATACATTTTTTTTTCCCCTCTAAATGTCATTAGTCATTCGTGACATATTCATATGGATTGAATTTACAAATTCAATTTGATACATCAAAAGCGAAATTTCGTTGTGGTTCACCGGAATCATTAGGAATGGGTCAAACATCTATATGTGATTTATTAGGATATAATAATAGTATTCCTGGTACGATTATATTGGAAAATGAAAGACCTACTGAATTACCTTGGTATATTAATTTTATAGTATTATTAGCCGTTTGTATTGCGGTACGTTTTGTAGCTTATTACTGTTTATTTAAAAATACTAAAAAGTAGATATATATTATTATGATACTATTTATGGTTTTTAAATTTTTTTATTTTGTGGTTAAGACGATTAGTTTTAATACAATTTAATAAAGAACTTCATGATACTTTAAAACTTTCTTTTTGGGAAAATGGAAATAACATTTTGAACTTTCTTAATCAAAGACCAAATAGATAAATATGTACAATTACAACCTCACATTTACATTGCTATTTAATTCTTTTTTACAACTCATCATTTTCGAGAATAAATTGATCACAATAATTTTTAAGCTGATTGGCATCGTTGGTTTCTGCTAAATTTTTTATTTGTCCCACATTCAATCTGGTAACCGATCGTGAAAGCCTCATTTCCATCAACTCTTTCAGATGACCTAAATTGTAATTATTTGATAACTTGAGCAGATCTTTGTATCGCTCAAAAATATCACGTGCTACTTCACGAGGGTTTTCATCATCATCATCATCATCCTGTAATAATCGCAATTAGTAAAAAACATACCATTATATAATTACATAATTAATAATTACATACCTCAATTACCTCATCGTAAAAATAACTATTTCTATTTATTACGTAATTAATCTTTGGTGATGTATCCCTATATCTTTTAATTGCATCATCGATATTCTGACCGTATAGGTAGCGTAACAAGACGCGCATCGAATCAGGTTCAACGTCTCCAACATATTCAACATCATTAACAATAATAGAGGAGCTTATTGCGAGCATATATCGACTGGCTTTTATTCTTTCACCTTTTATAATAAAAGTGGCGTCATTAAAGGAAAAGTTCGGATCAAATAGAGAATCAAGTGCTTTAATTTTGTTAATAGACGGTTGGTCATGGAGTCTGACTTGTATTTCGATATTTGGTCGTTTTACTTCTCTCGCACCAGCTCTTTTGAGCATTGTAGGATATTTAGCAAGACTTGCATTGACATATTTCTCCTCACTTGGCTCACTGTTTAAAACCAATTCTCTTACAGATACCCAATTTTCAGATTTAAAAGGATCATGATCTTTGTTGAAATTAATGAATAATGGGTCATGTGGATGAATGTGTTCCGTTAGGTTGAGATCTTCATCATTTAAACATTCTTCTTCAAGCCAGTTATAGACCTCATAAACATTGTGTTTGAATATTTCACTCCAATTTTTCTTCCATTCTTCATTTTCCCGGAGGTTCTCGTACAAGAAACGGAGATGTTCAACTACATTTACAGTTTTTGGTTTACCAAGTGATGGATACTTTGCAAGTACATGTAAAGGTGGTATAACATCTTCTGCAATCAGAGACATTTGACTCCACGCGACTTCTTTGTAAGTAGGAAGAATTACGTTATTGAAACAATCTAAAGTTTGAGAACGTGAATAATTCATACTATAAGGTTTGTCCAAATTTTTAGAAATTGGGACAAATGGTATTCTCGAAATAATATTATCTTCTAAATTCATAAATGCAACATCGTTAATATTGTTATAAAGATAATCGACCAGTATAAAACCTCGATATCGAATGTCAGGTGGAGGATTCAGCTTTTTCTGCAATTCTTCGATCTTCCCAACGCACTTGATGAATGTCTTCTGATCAATATTGTCTTTAAATCCAATATTTGACAGTGTTCTTGATCCCCTTGTAGATTCCGAAATGGTATGATCAAGGAACATATCCGGATTTCCACTAAAAACAGTCCGAAAAACTACGTTATCATGATCATATAAGTCGGCAATTTTCTTTGTTTTTCCAGTAAATGAAGGGAAGCATCTTATATCTTTTAAACCTTGAACAATTCTATAATTATCAAGTATGTCTTTTAGGAAATCAAGGTAATAATAATCACTTTTGCTAGGAAATTCAACGTCTTCAAAGGTATACGAGTAAACGTCTTGCGTTTGAACATCAAGTCCATTAAGAATTAGCCGAGTAAGGTCTTCTTTAGAATCCAAGTAGATTTTGGAATTCTTCTTTGTACGATAATGTTTAGCATTCTTTGGCAAAATGTACCCACATGAGGCTGGTTTTAAAGGGGGTTCTAAATTTGGTCGTAATGGATCCGAAATTATTGGCCAAATAGGTAATGAACGGATTAATAACTTAAGATCAGGTTCGGAGCATAATTGGCCCTCTATAAAATAAAAAGGATAAGTGAACTACTATTTTATATGTAGTATTTGAATTAAAAACTTAATTGAACTAATAATTACTAATTTCATCCCAATTATTTCGTAGTAGATTACGAAGTTCCAGAGCCTTATCACGTGAAATAAGACTGAAGAGATTATCCATACGGTTAATAAATGAGCCATCATGGAAGTTTTCTTCATTTTGTAATATCTGTTGAAGTACTTTGCATCCGTATTCAATTATGTACTTTGGATAATTTCGAGTGATCGGTGGAAACGGCCAAAACTTTAAGATAGGGTGTTCGTTTAGTTCAATTTTATTGCTATCTCGCAATTCGATGATTTCTTTGAGAAGTTTACAATAAAGTTTAGGCAAAAAATCAAGCAGTATATGCCTATTCCAATCGAGTTTCAAATGATCTAAATCTGGCGAGTCGTCATCGCTCTCGATTAGTAACTTTCCACGATCAGAACCTTGGGCCCATACTCCGTTAAGATGAACTGGCAGATGTGTAACATCAGATAATGAAAGAAAAGAGAACATTTTGCCGATAAAATTAAGTTGAGGCTCTACAGAGCTTTTAAGTAACGCAGCGATACCTCCTGATACGCTTAATCGATGTTGTTTCACATATTTCTTCAGCCGTGAAGTTTCAGGATTTTGTTGAGAACCAGTAATGATGATCCAATGTTCTTTTTGTTTTTTGTTTGTATTGATCCAATGGTCACTTTTTGTATCAATTTCGATCTTTATCTGATAAATTTGGGTTGTACCGTTTGTTACGCATGTCCTTTTTCTTCGTACATTTTCATCCAATCCTGTTATGGCCGCCTTCCAGAGAGAATTCATTTGAGGCGATTGAAGTGAAGTAAATAATACAGCAGGACGAGCAGGTATATGTGACATCTCCATTTTTTCAATGTTTCGAAGAAATAGAAATTGATTGGAGAAATTTGATTTAATTGTTTTGATTAACTTGAGTATCTCTTCTGTAGTAGAAATAGTATCAGATAATTCACTTGGTTTTTTTCTAAGTGGTATACGAAAGAGTGTCCCTTCACGGAAATCAATGTCTTTGATTCCTTTAAAAGGAGTTAGTTGGTCCCTATAGGTGCTATTTTGGGGAATAGGACCAAGAATACCACGTTTAGACAAGTATTTCTCTTGAGGATCCAAGAATGCAATCTTATCACCGCTGACGAAACTCGGAAAATCGGTAAGATGATAGCATGAGTTAAAGCCCAATCCATGTTTCCCAATTTTTGTACTATCTTCTTGTTTTCCGCCAACACGAATCTGCATTAGTGACTCAAAATCGGGTTCCTTAAATTTTGCATTATTGAACATTAAAATAGCAGGTCCTTGCCAATCCTTCAAATTTTTGTTAATTAAATATTCACTAGGGTGTGAACGGCAATCGACGATTATATGAAACTTAGTTGCACCTGCGTCATCAGCTATTTTTTTTTTTTTTTGAGAATAGACATTAATAGGAAACTAATTAAATATTATCGTTATTATTGTTGCTATATTATATGACTTACCATTTTGAAGGAATTCCTTAAATACACTTTCGATAGGATAATCCTAATAAAATTATAAGTTCGTTGGTTTTGTAAGTTAAAATTTTTTTCTAAAACATTAAGACCTTACTTTTATAATATTACGAATGGATGAGACAAGCGTCTCATTTTGACCGTAAGATTTGAAATCATTCATCTGTGGCAGTAATTTTTAATGTAAAAGATGATTTTAAATCGGCTTTTTTTTTCAGGTATTGGTACTTTATTTATTTTTTTGATGACGATAATGTCTATCTTTTTTTAGCCGTAATAAGGGGTGTTCCAAACATTGCTATGGGAACTTTTTTAATGTAAGCCCTAAAAATTATTTAAGCGTGTTTGTTTAAGCGCATTTGAGAAAAATGTTTCATTACGTTAAAATCTTATTCAGCAGCATCCCAAAATAGCTTGGCTTTCTTGTTTAACAACGCTATTTTTTTAGTGTGAGAAATTAATAAAGAATTATTGTAATTATTGTGATCAGATGATTTGTCGATCAATTATAAAAACAAGACACCCACCAAAAAAATAAAATGATTCTTAAATACAAAACTTCGGTGAAATCGTTTGAATTGTTTTGAGATTGCTTGGAATCAAAAAATAGGAATCGCAACACGCAAATTGCCTTCAAAAAAAAACTTTTAATATTCACCAATAATAAGCTTTAAATACGCTAGGTTATAAAGTTAGAAAGCTGTAAAGAAAATGACTTCATGAGAAATTTTTAATAATCTTACGTATAATTGATCGGCAAATCACCTGAATGACCTGATCACGGTAATTTCGGTGGCATTCATGACGTCATCCAGAATGTGACATTCTGCTGGTCAGCATCAACAAGTAAAATTATCTGTTATGAGCTAAGATTTGAGCTAAGCTTTGTTCTAAAAGAAATCCTATCCTTTATGTGTGCTTTCGTAATGACCTTGATGCAAGATTTTTCCTTACATCTATATAATTGATGTTGCTTCTGGGTTTCAATCATATTTTATATTTTTACTAGTAGCAATTATTTGATGAAATTATGAGCATTTTATCACTAACATATGGCTTTGATTAATTATATTTTGTATTTTATAGACCTTACTGATACTACTTTATAATAATTTATCGCCGTAGCTCGCTTCGATTAAATTATTGTCTGAAAATCATAATAAAGATTGAAATTATACTAACCACGAAAAGATCAGTACACTTGCGCATAAATTCTTAAACTATTAAAATGAATATAACGTTTACAAGTTTATATAACGAATTGCTATGTATTTGATTAAGAATATCTGTCGAATAAAAATTCTCTAGTAAATTTCTTTATAATCCATCATTTTCGAGAATAAATTGATTGCAATAATTTTTACGTGGTGTTTCTGCAAAATTTTTTATTTGTCTCACATACAATCTGGTGACCGATCGTGGAAAGCCTTACTTCCATCTTATCGTTCAAAAATATCCCGCGCTTCTTCTCGAGGGTTGTCATATTCATAATCCATATATTCTTCCTAAAAAAAAATTACAGCCAATAAGAATATATCATATAATTAATTAATAATTATATACCTCATCGGTAAATTGATGGGCGTATTCCTACAACTTCTAATTGCATCATCGATATTCTGACCGTATAGGTGGCGTAACAAGACGCGCACCGAGTTGAGTTCAACGTATTCAACGTGTTCAACGGCATTAATATTAATAGAAGAGCTTATTGTGACTGGCCTTTATTCTTTCACCGTTAACAATAAACGTAATATCATTTGGGGGAAAATCTGTATTAAATCGAGAAGTGCATTAATTTTATTAATACTCGATAGGTCATGAAGTTTGACATGCATTTCATATGGTCGTTTTACTTCGCACCAGCTCTTTTGTGCATTGTAGGATATTTAGCAAGACTTGGAGTGATATATTTTTCTTCACTTGGCTCATTGTTTAAAACTAATAAACTAATTCTCTTACAGATACCCAGTTTTCGGATTTAAAGGGATCAAGATCTTTTCTGAAATTAAGGAATAATTTGTCATATGAACGAATATATTCGAGATTTTCATCATTTAAACATTCTTGTTATAAACCTTATAAATATTGTGTTTGAATATTTCACCTAAATTCCTTCCATTCATCATTATCCGGAGATTCTTAATTACATTTAAAGTTTTTGGTTTACCGAGTGATGGATACTTTTCGAGTACGCGTAGAGGCTCGTTTATAGCTAATGATCGACAAGAAAGTATAATTTAGTGATACCATCAACATTTCGGACGCTCTAATGGTTCCTGCTGCCTAACCTGAAAATTGGTAATCTGCATTTTGCATGGATAGTATTACACAAACAACACAAACAACTATATATACTCGAATAAAGGAGTTTAATTGTATTTACCCTATTTTATAGGAAGAATTCCAATAAAATTATTTAGTTATGGGTGAAAAAGGTAAAAGCATACAACATGAATATAGATATCCAATACAAATTGAAATTGTTCTAAAATTTTTTTCAAACCAAATTTGCAACATAATGAAACTAGTTTCAAAAATTGAGGAAGATAAAGGTAAGAAAATTATTTAACAGCTTGTAAATTATAAACATAATTTAAATTTTTTAAACTATTTCTAAAAATTATTTTACTACATTAGCTCGTAAGTAATAGGTTATCTTATAATCGGAATGATAATTAAATTATTTACTTCTATTAATATATATAACCAAATAATTTATTTTATTATTATAGTTGGTAAGTTAATAGCTGTTTTTTTTATTGTATTTTACATGATATTTTAAATACTAATTTTGCATAATATAATTGTTAAATAATTACGGTACTAATATTATAGAAAGTAAGTATTTAATTTTATATTAATTTAAAAGTATTTATATATAATTTTAACTGATAATAATATTTATTATATTTATTTAAATAATTAGATTGTAAGTTACTGTATATACTTAATTTTTATATACAATTATAATATTTTATCTAATTGATTATAATTACTTTACTTTATAATTATTATTAATTAATAATACTACAGGGTGTAAGTTATTTATTTAATATATTATATTTAAATAATATTAACATATAATTTAAACAGGACCGGGAAAACTACTAATAAAGGTCACCGGTTTTCTTGGTTCGAACCCATAGTTAATTTTCAAAAAGGTCACCGTAAAAATAATTAATAAAAGTCACGTGTTGGTTCGCAAGAATAAGAAAATTTGAGTGAAGATCTTTCCTTTTTCTGTTTTTGGAGCGAAAACATGTGAATAAATAGCCAATTGACCAATCATAAGATGGTTCGCATATATATGATTTTCTGATTTTTTTCCGGTGACCTTTATATATAGTTTTCCCGGTCCTATTTAAACTAACTAAATTCTTTATTTAAAAAATTATTCAAATATTATAGATCGTGAGTAATTCTATTATATTTATATAATATTTACATATAATTTAAACTAACTAAATTCTTTATATAAAAATTATTCAAATATTTTAGAATGTGAGTAATTCTATTATATTTATATAATATTTACATATAATTTAAATTAACTAAGTCCTTTATTTAAAAATTATTCAAATATTTTAGATTGTAAGTAATTCTATTATATTTATAATATTTACATATAATTTAAACTAACTAAATTCTTTATTTAAAAAATTATTCAAATATTTTAGATCGTAAGTAATTCTATTATATTTATATAATATTTACGTATAATTTCAACTAGCTAAATTCTTTATTTAAAAAATCATTTAAAATATTTTAGCTTGTAAGTATTGCATTTTTTTTTAATTTAATAATCCTTTATTTTTTATATTCAATTTATTATAAATAATTAAATTTTTTTAAATATTTTGGTAATTTATTTTAGTTGGTAAGTTATAAGTTATTATATATTATTTATTTAAAATTTAAATTTATTAATTATTTATTATATTAAAATCTTACAATTTTATTCAGAGTAAGTATAATTAATATTATTTAATATTTAAATTTTTTTAATTGTAAATTTATTTTAAATTTTAATTTTTAATATAATTTAATTTTTATATTTAAAGATTTGGCACTAGTGGAAGTAAAGTTATGGATCAATTTATTTTCAAAAATGTATTAAAATGGATTCCTTATGAAAAATTTAAAAATATTGGGTATCTTGATAAAGAAGAATTTGGTACTTCTATATATAAAGCTAAGCCAGTAATGGCCAGAAGAGTACTTCCTTTACCCAGGATAAGCCAGAAATCAAAGACATGACCAGAAGAATTGAAATCTTCTTCATCCAAGACAAGCCACGATGGCCAGGAAAAATTTCCTTTGCCCAGGATAAACCAGTCCAAGATGCTAAAGTGTAAATTTATTTGGGGAAGGACATAACTGATTCCTTCTCCAGAATCAGTAGACCCACACTTTAATAAACTCACCTTCTTTGTACCAATAAGCTTTTGTGCTGTTTTGATTTTGCATCTTGATGATTTTTCATCTAGCGTTGCACCTTGCTGCAATTTTTGACGTGGTTCAAAGCCAAACAATCAAAATCTTTTAGAGACCAATGCTTCGAGGATTTTTTTCCAAAATATTTTAGATATTGCTTATCTTCCATATTAACAAAGAATTGTGAGAAATGAAGAATTATGAGAAACAAAGAATTGTGGGAAAAAAGTGCAAAAAAGGCAGAATATTTATAACAAATACCTGACGCGCTTTGATGTGCTTTGCTGTTTTACTGATAAACTTTACTGATTGTTTTACTGATATAATCTGATCAGAGTTAAAAATCATTTCTTGTGGCACCTAAGATTCCATTACTCAACTAGTGTTGTTAAATGGCTTGAGATTGCATGACTTGGGAGCACGTAAACTTTCACTGGACTTTTTTAAAAAATAAATAAATTACAAGAATTACTTGAATTTAAAGCTCCGAACGGTTCCGGTTTGAACCGGGAACCGATCCGGAACCGGCAAAAAATTCGGTTCGGTTCTCGGTTCGGTTTTGGACTTGGAACCGTCCGGTTCGGTTCGGTTCTATCCGAAATTAAGAAAAAATGCGAAAAAACGAATATACGACTATCCAGTGATCGTACAAGGACGAGCCATAGCTCGTTGGAATCCTCTCATCGAGACGCGTCGAATGGTGGTAAAATCAAGTCTCTAGCATCGATAGATCACGAGATAGCACATGGTGAGTGTTTCTTAAAAAATTTGCATTAGAAAACGATCCATTGATGCTAGAGACATGAATTTACCACCATTCGACGCATCTCGACGAGACGAATCTAATGAGCTATAATTCGTCTTTTTACAATCACTGGATGGTCGTGTATTCATTTTTTTGCATTTTTCTTAATTTCGGATAGAACCGAACCGAAGCTGTCTCTTATACACATCTAGATGTGTATAAGAGACAGACTTTATACAGAATATGGCTTAAGATCATCACCTAGTATTTTGACTAAAGCTCCGAACGGTTCCGGTTTGAACCGGGAACCGATCCGGAACCGGCAAAAAATTCGGTTCGGTTCTCGGTTCGGTTTTGGACTTGGAACCGTCCGGTTCGGTTCGGTTCTATCCGAAATTAAGAAAAAATGCGAAAAAACGAATATACGACTATCCAGTGATCGTACAAGGACGAGCCATAGCTCGTTGGAATCCTCTCATCGAGACGCGTCGAATAGTGGTAAAATCAAGTCTCTAGCATCGATAGATCGTGAGATAGCCCATGGTGAGTGTTTCTTAAACAATTCGCATTAGAAAACGATCTATCGATGCTAGTGACATCATTTTACCACCATTCGACTCGTCTCAGTGAGACGAATCCAATGAGCTAAAATTCGTCTTTGTGTGGTCAATAGATGGCGTTTAATCGCTTGTATCGGAATTTTAATTTTTGACGTTCGAAAATTTAAAAAAAATGCGAAAAAATGAATACACGACCATCCAGTGATTGCAAAAAGACGAATTATAGCTCATTAGATTCGTCTCGTTGAGATGCGTCGAATGGTGGTAAATTCATGTCTCTAACATCAATGGATCGTTTTCTAATACAAATTTTTTAAGAAACATTCACCATGTTCTATCTCGTGATGTATCGATGCTAGAGACTTGATTTTACTACCATTCGACGCGTCTCGATGAGATTCAGAAAAAAAAAACTCTTTCCCCTTTTTTACATTTTGTTAATTTTCCGCAGTAATTTTTGCGCTAGTTAGTCTTTTCTTCAGTTTCGACTTGAAACGCTAAAGGGGAAGAGGCCCAAGAGGGCGCCTCTGGTTGTATACGAGGTTTTTAGTTAGTATTTTACCCACACCCAAGGGAATATGACTTCTTCAAATTCTATAGTAATAGACTGGTCTTCATCTTCGTCAACACACTCGTTTATTCGCATAGATGACCTTCATTTTCACAAGATAGTTCTCTTTATCCAACTACAGATATTGACTCTCAAGTTTCTTCAAATATTAATAATGATGGCTATCCAATAAAAGATTTTTCTTCTATATCTCCCATTTCTTCAACAACGACGACTCCACCTAATGTCGATAATTCTTTTCTCATTTCTTCCAAGAAATTTCACGTGACCAGAATACACAAAGCCGGTTATAACAAGATTTACGAATTTAGACGTTCAAAAAGTTTCTTTTTTGAGATTGTTGATCACCATTTGGACACCAATCAACTTCATTTACGGATACACACAAATGATTATCTCATGTCAACTACCCCTATTAAGTATCATTCCACAAGTGCACTACCGAACGCCAAATATCAAATTAGCAAAGGTCTTCAGCATTTTTTTTCCTCACAAAGAGTTATTCCACGTCGTATTCAACATAAATATTTTGATATGATACGTCAAAAATTATTAGATAGAATCACGTTTATCAAGTCACGTGAGAATAAAATCAACAATAGGAACGCAACAACGAAAACTTTTTTCAATTTCTCATACAAAAGATATAGATTTCATTTTGGTATCTTTATCCCTTGCGACCATATGATTGAGGCAAATGGCTTATCTATTCCACCTCGACCTTGTGAGGTTCCTTGTCCTATAGTTATGTCTAATAATAGATATGGATGTGGCTTACATTTTTTCAAAAAATACACAGCTGCAATAGCTTTTGTACGAAATGAACATGGTGAATTTACACTTAAAAATCAACATCAAAATAAACAATTCCATGCTAATTTGACATTTGACCGATGGATAAAAAAAGAATCGAAATCGATATTCTCTTCAAGAACGGGCATCTCTCATAACTCAAGATATATTGTCTGCAATTCAAATCATAAATCCAGACCTGGACGTACTCACATTTATCACAAACTTATGAATAACTTCCAAATAACTCCAAGTCCAAATCTGAGGACAGCTAGAAAACAAAAAATCAGATATGAACGTTCTTGTCGTCGTATCTTATCACAAGAAGTTATTAAACCAGGCGCCATCTCCAGTACATCAACGAAACTGGCTGCGGCTAAAAAAGGGCGATTCCTTTTTTTACCATCTCAAAAATTTACGACTCCTCTTAAACACTTACGTTATAAGAAAACTGTTGATATCCCCAAACAAAAGGATTATAATTTTACTATTCCACATTATTTCAGTACTAATACGAATGTGACTAGCCGACCAATGGCTACAAAAAATATTTCCATTGCCACAGCTACGACTTCAGCTTTGGTCTCTAACGACAAATTAGTATATACGGTCACTCCTTATAATCCTGTCCCGGACATGTTTATTCCTATCAAATATCGGGATATAATACCGCCTGATTCTATTTATGATAATTTTGGTTCTTTTATTGTCCCTGGGTCTAGGGAATGGTTTACTTATATGTATCAATTGGATTTAGATACCCATGATGAACGCCTTAGAAAAGCAGATGATGCTAAATTTGCCGCTAGAATTGATGAACTTAATGCCGCTTCTGAGGCTTCTAAACTTAGTTATCAACAGTATTTAGAAGAACGTTCAAAGGAAATAACCGATCTGATAATACAAGAAGATATTAGAATACAAAATTTAGCCAGATACCACGGCACTAATCCTAAACACGTTAAATATCGACAACGTCAAGCGTCTGATTATACTAGGTGGAACAATACTTATCATAATAGTATGATAAATCCCCAACGTATTACCTCTTCCAACAAAAAGAAAAGCAAAAAGAAGAAACTCTTACAATCGGAAATGGATTCTTTTCTCATTAACTACCCTAACGTATCACTTTCTTTTAGTTTAAAGTGTGATACCACACGATCAAGGTTCGATTATAAGGATAATATACTCCCTACTGAACCATACACGTCTGATGACACCAAGGAAATTGAAACCCGTCCTTCAAAGCGTGATGATCATAATTTTGATAATAACTCCAGGTCTCATGGTACTTCTAAACGCTCCCGTCTAAATACTTCTCTAGCTCTTGATTCTGAGCAGGCGGGATCGTCTAAATAATTTTATTAGTGTTCTCATATTTGAATTTATAAATTAGTGTTTCATTTTTTGGAATCATTTTCTGTATATAGACGTTGTCTATTTCTTTTTTTTACATTTATATTGATAGTATATACAATAAGAATAGTGTTAACCATTCCACTTATGACAGTATTTACAGGTGGTGGCTTAGGCCAAGAGAAAAATACGGATCAACTAACTTTTCTTTTTTTAGATTAGCTTTTTTTGATTGTTCCCATTTGATTTATTAGCGTAGTCCTACAGATCGAAGAGTGAGGTCCCGTAGGGGATGACAAACAACGATCTATAAACATATATTAGTTTTAAGTCTTTTCGAACTTTTTCTTCTTTTATTTGTAATAGTCTGGGTTCACCACTTTTTTAGTAATAAAATAAATAAATAAATAAATAAATAAGCGTCTCGATGAGAGGATTCCAACGAGCTATGGCACGTCCTTGTACGATCACTGGATGGTTGTGTATTCATTTTTTCGCATTTTTCTTAATTTCGGATAGAACCAAACCGAACTGGACGGTTCCAGTTCAGTTCCATTTCGGTTTTCGGTTCTACCCGAACCGCAAAAAACCGAACCGAACTGACCCGTTTGGAGCTTTACTTGAATTACTTGAATCAGTTATAATATATTGTTGTAAAATTAAAATTTATTTTTACCTGCTTGCCCTGGATGAAGGAGATTTACTATCCAAGTCATGTTGGATTTCTGGCCAGACACTTACTGAGTTGCTACTTATATATACTCATGTTTCTTTTTCCCTTAATTTTTAGGAAGATTTGAAAAACGTAAACAGATTGTGAAAAATGCCAGAGGTGTTAAAGAATATCAATAAACTTGACAAAATTGTTAACATTGAAGAAGAAGAGCAGATTATGGCATTAAAAGAACGTCAACTTCAATTGAGAGAGTGTGAAGCCAAAATTCGAATATTAGAACTTCAGAACATTCAGATTCAGATGGAGAAAGAAATAGGCAGGCGAGTGGATTCATAATCTACCTGTTTCTTCACAATTTTCTTTAAATCTTTTTAGTGGTCTTTTCGTATTTTCTCTTGGGAATCTTCCATCTCTTGTTTTATTTGCTCTTTATTTTTTCTTTTTCTCATTCTCATGATATCCATAATAATGTAACGATTTATGTATCACAAAATAAAGTTCATGCATTCAAATATTTCAAATTTTATTGTTTTGTTTGAGAGCATCAAATAAAATAAAGACAGAAGGAGTGTAAAAGTTGCCAGTATAGAAAAGAAAAAGTACAATATGAATTGAAAAAATTATATATTAGCTTATAAGCTTTTCTCCACAGTCCACATGCACAGCTTTAAACCACTTTAATTGTGTAATGTCTCATCTGAAACTTTCTTATCAGAAGAATTGGTGTATGCGAAGCCAATTCTTTTGGCAAGAATTTTCAACTGATTTACCTTCACATAATCTATAATACTATTGCGAACTTGGATTTATTACTTGAACAGAAATAGCCAAGACAGTATTCCTTTCCATGCTATTCACCAGATATTCTGTAATTGCTATGATTTCTGTTGCAAGCAAGACATGGCATTTGCTTAGTATATCTTTAATTATCATATCCTCTAAAGCTATTTCGAAGTTGCAAGTATGTGAAATGCTCTAAGATGAATTGTATAATTACTGGTAACTCTAAACCTGGTTTTCATACAAATTTTTTTTTACTGTCGCGAACTTGAGTTTATTGCTTGAAGTGTTGCAGGTAAGACAATATTCTTCCAATGTACAGTCACGTCAGAAAGTATCGCCCGATTCAAATTTTATAGTAAAACATATAAAAAATTGAAAATTTCAGGCTATATACATATTCAACTTTCTTTTAATATCCATTTCTAAATTTTATATCATTTTAAAGCCAATACCATATTCTTTGAAATATTGATGTTTGAATTTTGGGAAAGTTAAAATGCAAGAGCTATTTTATTTATGAGGTAAAAAAGTTTTTTTTTATATGTTTTAGATCCAAAAAATAAAATTTATATATAAAAATGAGCTGCATATATATTTATATTTCTTTTATTAATTATTTCTAAATTTTATATCACTATAAAGCCAATATAATATTCTTTAAAATAACAATATTTGAACCTTGGGAAGGTTAAAATGCAAGAGCTGTTTTAATCTTAAAACTCAGTATTCATTTTTTATATGTAATTTACTATGTAATAGTGAATC